TATATATATATNTGTGTGTATATATATATATATATATATATATATATATATTAATATATATATACTATATATATATATATATAGAAGAATAATAATAAAAAATATATATATATATATATATATATATATATATGTATGTATGGATATATATCTATATATTGAAACCCGTCTTGTAGGAAATAAGTGTTATGTTGGGCTTGAAATATTCGTAAAAATTTATTTGCATTCTTAGCATGGTTTCAGAAAATTTCAGTAGCGCACCGACAGAGGAAACCGGCCTTGGCATTCTTTACGGCACATACAGTTGTTCAAAAATAGGTTCTTGAGACCCATTGGGATATATTGTCTCGCATCTTCGAGTATATTTGCTGAGGAAATTACACCCCCATATCTTTTATACAACCCTGACACCTTCACTCATACTGCAGAACTTCAACAGCTCTGACGATGAGGCTTATTTGGGGCAGAATGGGCCCCAAATGCAGGTGCACTTGAGAACCCGGGACACGGGGACCAGTAATGCCGTGTACGAGACTCAAAACTTCAACAGGTATGATCACTCGATATCATCGGATACTGTGAACAAAGGGCAGGCGTTTCTCGTATCTGAAAATACCTTCAGTTGTAGTACACTATATCGCCAGATCTTACCACATACGAACCACTGACAGCCGCTTCAATTATCATATTGATAATCACCAATGTCATTGCCCACCCCGAATGTGCTACAGTATCAAGCCAGTGACGGAAACTGTCGAGATAGGACTGGATGAGGTGAAGATACCATCGCTGGCGGTACGTGACGATCAGGCGCCTTTGCGCTTCTTTGATGAGCTCGAACCGTTGCCGCAGTCACAGTCTCACCTGGCCCACGCGCTGGACATGGAGGGTATGCAGGACAGCGATACTGGTCACCGTGGAAACCGAAATGCGGCGATTTCATTGGACATGAAGGGGTGTGCCGACATTCGGGAAGACGGAAGCGACGGGGGCAGTGTAGGTGATGAGAAGCGGAGCTGTGTAGACACAGATGAAAAGCAGAACATGGGAAGTGTGAAAGGGAAAAGAACACTCACGGATGAGACGCCACGGGAAGTAGAGTGTTCAGGGTGTCTTTCTGCACTTGACATGGAGGGAAGGAACTTACACCTGAAAGCGAAAGGCCAATCGAGCACAGGGTTGTCTGAGGATACTACATATCCTAGTATTGATACAAAAGAATCCCCTATTGATCAAGCAAAACCTGCTGCTGATAGCACAGAACTTCCTAATAATAAAAGAACTAGTCGTACGGAACGAGCGAGCACCGGTGAGAAACCCATCAAACGAGTGAAGCGAATAAGTAGTGCGGGCGAACGCCACGAATCGCAGAGTTGCACTGGAGAAGAGTATGAGAATAGCGGCACGGAGTGTTCTACTAAGAGCACGGAGCAGTCTATCAATAGACCGAGCAGGGGAGCCAGAAAAGGCACAGCAACAACCCACACGGATGAGATGGCGTCTCCGGACACGGCCAGCTGTAGGAAAAGTGTGCGCAAAAACACACGCACACAAACAAGCAAACAGGCAAACACGGATTCCGATATATCATCAGACATGGATGCACCGAAGAAGAAGGGCAGGCGCGTACCACAGGCGAGTGCACAGGACATGTGTACACGCACACGCACACGCTCGCGTATGAAGGAAGCAAGCCCATCCAAGCCACAGACGAGCATGCGCGTAACAAGAGCGCGACGGGCGTGTGTGCAGACGACAGTCACGGAGACCACAGGGACGCAGAGGCGTACGAGTTGGGCCCAAGACGTATCGGGCAGTAGTGGCGAAGACAGGGATGGTGGCGGTACGGATAGTAGCAGTGACTATGGCGATATAGACGATGTGGACTACACCTGTGCACTCCGAGAGGGGCTGGGAGACAGTGGTGATGATACGGAAGTGAGCTCGGGTGGTGCGTCTGAGGTAGGTTCATCGTCGGAGGGGACTGAGGGGAAGGTGTTGAAGGGCAGGGTGCATGGTAGGAAGCCTCAACGCTCAAACTTTAAGAGCTCAGAGAGCGATGCGGATACGGATGGCATTGGCGGGGGGGGTAAGAGTACATGCAGGAGTGTGGGAGGGGCTCGGAAAGGGACCAAAGGGAGGCGGAAGGTTACAACACGAAGACAAGGTACGAGGCTGGCTGTAGGTATATATATATATGTGTGTGTGTGTTTGTGTGTGTGTGTGTGTGTATATATATATATATGTGTGTGTGTGTGTGTGTGTGTGTGTGTGTGTGTGTGTGTGTTGTGTGTGTGTGTGTGTGTGTTGTGTGCGTGTGTGTGTGTATATATATGTGTGTGTGTGTGTATTTTTTGTGGTTGTGTGTGTGTGTGTGATACGTTTGCGATTCATGGCGCACGCTTTGCGAACAGAGGCCTTTAAAGCTTTCCTAATGATCGTGATTTGCCCGTTCAATTTTGTAGTGTATACCTGTCCCAATTATTTTGGAAGAGTCTCCGTTCCACACAAGTCACTGCAGCTTCTCATGCCTAGTAATGGTTTGTTTTGATCTGTGTTGTAACCTCTATTTCGCGTTCTATTAGATGGCCTGGATATCGGTTGATTTATTGATTTCGGTGTTATTCTTATCCTAATTTGGTGCACGTATTTGTTGGCTCAGATACTGCCGCTGTAAATGGCGACGTCAATTCAAGCGCGCGCCCGACCACAGCGGCGCCAACCAAGCAGCGGAAAAAGACGCTCAGGTGAGTGGCAATGTGCAATGGGCTGTACCACTAAAGATGGATGAACGTGTTGCATAGAACGTTAACGTATCACTTCGCATGTGTTTCTGTAGACTTTGACGTATCCCTGGTCGTGCTTCTGATAGACGCGTGGGCGTGGGCATGGGTAAAATCACATAGGTCTACTCACCTGCCTATGTAGTCTTCTGTGTATATGGGTTTAAGTACAGATCAAGTAAAAATGTACACCCACAGACGTACCGTACGGGATCGCTTGATGCGCATGTTTATCTCACAGATGAGAACTTAATACCGGTCGCAACCTCTCGACGTCCTGTAATTTCAATCCAATTTTTACCATTCCACTTTCTAGATTGGAGCTGTAAATTCTAATTTTTATGAACAGCGACTACAAACACGTATTTCACCACCATCTTTCCCGTTCGCGAACTTTAACGGCTTCATGTCCGTCTGTTTTCTCAATCGCCATCAACACTGCATGCTTCTTCATGACCAACTCTCCCTTCGAAAAACGTACCATAGACCCGAAGACATCCAACGTTTGGCCGAAAACCCAGCGCACGCCCTCAAGTACGTGTATGGCTTCGACACCTTCCGTCCTGGTCAAGAGCTGGCTGTATCACGCATCTGCAAGGGACAGGCGACACTGGTTGTACAGCCTACGGGTGGGTGTAGTCAGTCGTGTGTATGTGGGTATCGTACATGAGGGAAATGCTTTTTCTTTTCTTTTCAGAGTCTTATCTGTACACACGGCTCTGTAGAGGAAACACAGTACATGTGGGTCATATAATCTACAATCCGGTCTGTTGCTGCGCTAGACACCATTCTATTCATATATGGATCTACATATGTACTCTCCATGCAACGAGCTGTCTTCCCTTATCTAAACAGTGAAACCCTGCATTCTATTTATATCTCGTTCTATTTATATCCTCGCACAGGTTCGGGTAAATCCTTGTGCTACCAGCTGCCGGCCTTCATCCAGGCGCTGGAGTCTCCGTCGCTGTGTCTGGTGGTGTGCCCGCTTGTATCGCTCATGCACGACCAAGTAAAGCGACTTCCTAAGGCGTATGTTGACGCACATGTACGAAGTATTGATGTATACTCTAGTTCCCTTTTGTGTGTGTATATATGCTCACTGCAAACTCAGCAATGCGTGTGTACACTATATGCACATTGTAGGGATTCACATACGTTGTATAAGCGCTGTGTCTGGTGGTGTGCCCGCTTGTATCGCTCATGCACGACCAAGTAAAGCGACTTCCTAAGGCGTATGTTGACGCACATGTACGAAGTATTGATGTATACTCTAGGGTTACCGGATATCTTGGTTCCCTTTTGTGTGTGTATATATGCTCACTGCAAAATCAGCAATGGGTGTGTACACTATATGCACATTGTAGGGGTTCACATACGTTGTATAAACGCTGTGTCTGGTGGTGTGCACTGCTTGTGTAGCTATTGCTCGAACAAACCAAGTGACTCTCCATGACGTAAGTTCGGTCAATCGGTGAGCATGTACTGTAAATAAGTTTTGTGCTCTCAATTGTTATTCTGATATATATATATATATATATATATATATATATATAGTAGTATATATATATATATATATATATATATATATATATATATATATATATATAGT